GACTATAGGGGAAATAATTAGTGCAAATTAGTATTTAAAAGTAGGTTAGGATTTCTATGGATTTCCTACCAGAATAGCTGAATTTCCCTTATATACTGCTGTGACTTACATACAAAATAATTTGAACAATCACAATTTTTTAAAAGGTTTTCATATTTTAAGGGCAAAGTTCRCGGGGTCAGCTAGATTTATGGTAGAAATTTCTGTTTACTAATGGTTGCTATAGGTTATAGGATTTGAGAATAATATTAAATTTATTTACTAATAGCTGAACTCGTGAACTTCGAAGCCCGTTTAAAAGCCTACCTCTTAAATGTTTCAAAYTGTGTGTTAAATTCGATACTTGCGCTAGAAGTTTTTTWAAAAAATATAAATAGATAATAGTTAAAATATACTAAGCAATAGTCTTATACTGATAATTAATTTAGTTTATTATTATGTAATTTCATTCGTTTTATCGAGAAAAGTCTGACGATTCAAGTATTCAATTGAATTATATTTATTGGAATGTGAGCATGCCACATACAGCTGTTCGTGTGAGAAGCATGGATTTTCCTAATTCAGTCCACACACTTGTAGTGATTGTACTTGTGCTTTGGTGATGTTCATTGCAAAAGCGAGTCGCACCGGTAACTGCAAACGTTTGAATTCGAAAGGCATATCTMTTRAAATCATTRGRATGCGTGGCAACAGTAAATSTTTGCCTTTAAACTTTCCGTTTAAAATTGTAGCTTCGATAATGTTGTCCATCAACTTTTTCATTGAAAGCCTGGTACCGTTGCAGAATCGTGGTGGATTGATGTTTCGTAGAAGAATGATGRGCACGCCAAATTTCAAAGTTATAACGTGCAGTAGCATGTCTGGAAAATCAAGTGAATTTAAGAATTCAGTTAAATAATCGACAACTTCGTCTTGATTCATTACTGTATCGATGGACTGGTACGTTATCGTTTCGTCCGGAATTCGGTTAGAATGGTGTTATTCATTRTAGGCCACTGACGATATCCGTAATTTTGTGGTAGATTTGAAAAATCTTTGTCAATTAATTCATTGGTTGTTGCTGTKATTTTCCAGAAATTAGTTGGGAATGTGATGCGTTGTGTKGATTCATCGATAGCTWGTTTACTATTCCTTATTTCTTGCAATTGTTTTGCAAAATCGGTTGATGCATAATTTTGTTGATGTACACTCATAYATTTCATATCGATTTTTAATCTTTGCATCTCTTTGMTCAATTGTTTCTGAAGCTCGTATTCCCATTTTCTTTCGTGCTTGAGGCGTAGAACTACCAATCGATCTTTTTTTGGGAGGCATAACTGCATAGAAATGGCGTTAGAATTACAAAAAAAAAAAAAAATATCAATAAAAACTTGTAATGCCATAGACGCATGTGTCATGGAAAAAAATAATAAAAAAATAATAACAAATTTGAGAATAATGATTTCTTTCGCACTAACTATTAATGAATAAACAAAAATTTCTATCGTAAATCTCAAAATAATTGTTTGGGCACCTCCCGAGGTTGAGCCTATCATCTACCCATAAGTCCAATATTATGTATCTGTACCAAATTTCGTCCCAATCCGTTCAACCGTTTAAGAATGCATAAAGAACTGACTGATAGAAATTTATCTATATATGTATAAAATATAATAAGATATTTTATTCTTAATTTGAATGTATTAGTTTAATTAATTTAATGTATTATTTGTTCGTGTCATTAAAAAATGCCAGCAAGACGCCAGAGTGGCAATTTTTGTCGTAGACAAAATGCAGCTACAAACATGAGAAATAGAAGAAGCAAAAAAACAAACGAACTAATTCAATCCGATAATACGATTTCATATGAGTATGGTGCAATTGGKTGAATCTTAATCACAAGAAGCACGAGATGAACGATATTTGTTTGTAGCTTAGATTTGGGCGCACAGTTTTTTCACATGAACAATTTATTATAAGTGCATGTTCTTGGGTGGGTAAACCATTCCGTTTGTTTATGTTGGCAAAAGATGGACTCATTAAAAATATCGTACAATCTATTGCATTAAGATACTGATAGTGTTTTTTTAATTTTCATAATGTGTGATAGAGATGTAATTTGATATTTATTAGTTAAGATAATAAAAGTACGATTAAATAAAAAAAAGAACATTTGGTGTTTAAGTTATTGTTCCCAGTGCTCTATTATTCCTCTTTCAGTCTTATACCAGTAAAACACAT